GATGGCCCTTGGGGGTCCCTTCCAACTCTAGGATCCTATGTCTTCCTTCATGGCAGAAGGAGGGGGGTCAGACTGGGTGGCCCTTGGGGGTCCCTTCCAACTCTAGGATCCTACATCTTCCTTCATGAAGGAGGGGGTCAGACTGGATGGCCCTTGGGGTTCCCCTCCGCCCCTAGGGTCCCTGCCTCGCTGCCTGTCCCTCTTGGAAGCGGGAGCCATCTCCTTTCCTTGCCTTGGCTCTGGGCCTGCCAGGGTCTGTGGGGGCGCCAGGGCCGCCAGGTGAGGGCCAAGACAAGGCCCCATTGATGGGGGGCTACAAAAACCCCTTTGTGCCATTGGGTTGCCTGTGAAAACACACCCATTTGCACACACACACACACACCCAGACCCAGAGAGGGACTGAGGCCCATTCATGGCCAGCAGGGAAGAGCTCTTCTCAGTAGTGCTGACAGAGAGAGACACAACCTTTGTGTTGGTGTGAGGTTCGCACACAGAGCCAGGCCTGGGAGCAGGTCAGCCCAGGACGAAAGCCCAAAGTGTGGATTCCCTGACTTATTTGCAATGAGGGCCCTTTTGTAGGGGTGTGTGTGTGTGATGGCATGCAAAGAATTTCCAGGGACACGGGTGCGAATTGCACCCTTCCACCTTTCCCTTTTTGCTGGGAGGGGGTGCTTTGGACCTTTAAGGGGCCCACAACACGCACACACAACCCCAATCAAAACCTGGAGTTAGCAATTGCCCAGCCAAGCCTTTCTCTCTTTGCAGTTCCACAGGAAGGCACTCTGCACATGCTCATGTTGTTCTGCACCAACGTACGCCAACCCCAAGGAGGACCGCTGTTGTTGTGCGCCTTCATTTCCCTAATGGAGAGCCTAAGAAGGCCTACCTGTTTTAGGGTATTCTTGACAAGGCGTGTTGAGAGGATTTGCCATTGCCGTCCCTTGAGGCTGAGAGAGTGTGACTCACCCAAGGCCACCCAGTGGGTTTGATGGCCAAACCCACTGCGAATCGAACTCTGGCCTCCAGAGTTGTAATCCAGTGCTCAAACCACTGCGCCAGTCTTCTTGGCAAGATCTGTTCAGAGGCAGCTTGCCTTTGCCTCTGAGGCTGAGAGAGTGTGACTCACCCAATGTCTCCCAAGGCCAAGGAGGAAATAGAACCCTGGTCTTCCAAAATTAGTGTCCAACTTAGGCAGACCTATGACAGGGTTTCCTGGGGCTGAGAGAGTGTGCCCACATCACGCCAGCCACAATGGTTTCAAAGGAATGGCACCGGGTACCAGTTCCATTTGTCCCAGGTTCGAGGTGCCAGTGGTGTTATTTAAAGCTGTGAACGCAATACCTGAAGGCACACCCTTCCATGTAGGCGCACACTCAAGGCTTTAGGTCTTCTGGAAAGGTACTCTATGTCCCATGGGTCACTACAAATAGGCTCGGAGGACTTAATTGACACAACCCTCCCATGCACATGGGTGTCAATTCATTTCAACACTATTTTAACACTTGCAAAATCTGTTAAAGCAATTACAGCTTTTAAAAAAATCACGTTTTTAAAATTCTGAAATTTACATTTTTTCAAAATTTCAACTTTAAATTTTAAAATTTCTAAATTTCTAAATTTGAATTTTAAAAATTTCAATTTAAAAAGAACCAACTTTAAAAAACAATTATAAACACTCAAATTTGTTGTGTGTCATTTCGGTCGTATGGTGAACCTATCTTGGCAGAACTGGTTCGGAGAAGGGTTGCCTCCTTTTGCCATCCTCCGAGGCTGAGAGTGTGTGACTTACCCAAGGCCACCCAAGATTCGAACCCTGGTCTCCGGAGTCGGAGCCCAACGCTCAAACCAACATGCCATACTGGTTAGATTGGTTTTATTGTATGCCACTCTGAGACCTTCAAGAAAATGAACGAACCCCAGTGGGACTGATCCCCCAAAACCTAGGCTGCATCCGCACTGCAGAAATTTAACCCACTTTGACGCCGCTTTAACTGCCACGACTCAGTGCTCTGGCACCCCTGGGATTTGCCGTTTTGCAAGATATTTTTAGATGTTCTCTTTCAGAGACGGCACCGGCGCCTCAAAGCAAACTACAAGTCCCAGGGACTCCACAGCGCAGAGCCACAGCCATTAAAGTGGTGTCAAACTGGGTTAATTCTGCAGTGTGGATGCAGCCCTAAGGGCGAGACCCCTGCCAGGATAAACTCATAGCTGGGGGGAACCAAAGAAAGGGAGAGAGAGGTTTTTAAGTTTTATTCTTCCAAGTTTTTGGGGTGCCACGGATGCCCCCCAACTCATCCACCCCATGGAAGAAAAAGGACAACAAGATGGAGCCCCTCGGGATTTGTGGGTGTCTGGGGCCAACTGTGACTTGGAGATGGATGAGCTCGGCCATCGGGAATATTTTGGAGTGTTTGAAGGGGTTTTTTTGGGGGGGGGCACAGTTTTTAAAATGGGGGTACAGAGTATAATTACAGAGATCTGAAGGTGCCCCCCAATATCTGGCATTATGGATGAGGCAATGGCACCCTCTTGTGGCCAGAGGAGGAAATGCACGGTCTTTCTTCATGCATTTCCTCCTCTGGCCACAAGAGGGTGCCATTGCCCTAGCTATAGAGCCAGAAACCGCACTGGTGCCACATAACAAACAAACTATAAATCCCAGGGATTCTACAGCATAGAGCCACCATCCATCCCAGCCCTGGAAGTGACAGGAAGACACCCATTTCTAAGGGAGGGATCTTAACACTGAAGCCCCCCCCTCCTTTTACACCTTCAAGTGTATTTAAATATTTGGCCAGTCCTGGGTTCAAATGAAGCCTGGCACTTTGCACACACCGACTGTTGACTGATTTTGCACAGACTCAGCTAAATCCTGGGGGAAAGGAGGGGAGGACTGTTCTCCCCCCC